CTGCATACGGCTCCACACCAGCACCTCAGGGTGGCATGAGGGCAGGCACTGTCTTCGTTCAGTAGCCCAGGCCCTTGCTCCTGACAGCAGTGCTCCTGAGCTGCAGAGGGAAGGTGGGCAGATACCTGCAAGATGTGGGCTGCTCAACTTTCCAGCCACCTGGCTGCCATTCCACTGGAGAAGTCAGGCTGGGGTTCACTGGGGTAAAGTGATGCACAGCTGTGTGTCGATGGCAGATGACCCATGAGGAGGTACCAGCTGCAGGAAAAGGCCTGGGTTTAGAAGACAGCATGGCAGTCAGAGAGAGGGCCAAGCCAGGGTCAGCTCAAAGACATCATGCTTAGGACCTCCAATGTGTCCCCAGCCCTTCTAGGCTCACCTCTCCTGCAGAAGGATATTGGTAGTGCTGGGGCACCAACCCTAGGGGCTGGGCTATCACTTGCTTACTCCCTGGCAACCCTGCTTCCGCCTTGGGGCTCAGGACTGAATGCAGGTGCCTATCAAGCAGCCAGGTACGGCCGCCAATATGCATCCTCTGGTGGAAGTGAGGGATATGTGTAGATGATCACTTCCTGTCTGTGTCTTCATCCATGTCTCATCCATAAGTGGACACCCAGAGATATCCTGCCAGACAGAGGTTCTCTCAGGGTGCTAGCATCTCTCCTTATCCTATGGGCATCACCTAAAAGGACAGCCAGAGTTTCAAGTCCCATGACTCCTTTAGGATCCCAGAAGTCTTGGTTTTCACTTCCAGTTTAGATACAGTGGGTATCGCAAACAAGGGCTGAGTTGGGGGAAAAGGAGAAAGAGCTAAGTTAGATCATAGCACTAATAACACCCCTGAAAGACATAACCTGTCAGTTGTCACCACCCCAAGCATCTGGTGCCTCCTAGGACAGATGGCCTCTGCTCTTTGTCTCGGAGGAGTATGTGAACACATAGGCACCTCTGGTGGAGGACACTGGGCCTCTGACTCCACATAGATTGCAGGGTATTTCCTCCTGCTGGGTCTAGCGTAGGTGAGGTATCCTAGAATCCCTGTCATCTGCTTCTGGAGGGTTGTTGACAGCGATGACAGGAACATTGTGATCTTGCCCTAGGCAATGCTGATCACCTGGCAGTTAAGGTCAGACCAGCCTTTTGGCAGCACTTGGGTATGCACAAGGCTAACACAGCCTTGTCCCCCTGCTAGGAGCACAGCAGCTGCCTGTCTCTGCACCCTCCTTTCATAGCACTCACAGGATCACCACAGGAGGAAGGCCAACATCCTGGTGTCCTTGAGTCACATGGAGTGGCCTGCCTAGGCATCACATGTTCCAGGGTGACCTACCCTGCCCCCTCACATTTCTCTCCCAGCCTTCAGGTGCATGCTCTTAGGGAAAGGTCATCTGACACAGCAGACCTTCATCTGCTCAAAGCAAAGGGGACAGGTGGGAGCCCAGATGGACTGTGGGAATGCTGTGTCCTGGGCAGTCTCACCATGGCTGGGTCCTGACGAGGCTGTGTGCCCACCCTGCCTGCAGGCCCTGACCTCAGGAAGGGTTAGGGTATGGATCTTCCAAGGGAGAAAACCGCTGGAATGATTTGCTCCATGGAAGTTATATGGAGCAGCTTCTGAGTTTACTGGAGTCACCACTCTTGCAGCCCCCACCCTCGCCCCATACCACAGACTCACTTAAATGAGGCAGGCAGCCATGGCACTGCAGCCACCTCATTGAGAAGCACCCATGGGTTCTGATTTCCATAGCACAGTTTGGTTTGGCAGGGCTGGAGGTGCACAGCGGGCTGAGCTCACACAACAACATTTGTCACCTCAAAACCATCAGAGCAGAAAGGAGGGGACAGGAATCAGTGACAGCTGTAAGTCATAGAGTGTGAAGCCCCTTCCTTCATCTCTTCGTCCAAGATGCAACTGCCAGCAGGCAGCATGAGGACACCCGGTCACAGCAATGACTGAACGTGGTGGCTTTGGTCTTGTGTCTTCTCCATGGGCTGGTGTGCAGGGCTAGGGCCATGAATGGCAGTCACAGTCCGGAGAGCAGCTGTGTGCAGCCCATTATGCTGGGAGGTCAAAACTCAGTCCCACCATGTGCTCTGCTCTTGAGCACTCCTGGTGTGACACTTCATGGCCACTATTGAGCTTGGACTGAGACCATGGGTAGGGACAGAAATTAGAACAGAGTAGCAAACAGTCGCACATGGGGCTAGGACCACTGTGTTCCCTTCTCACAATGACATGGTCACATAGGATCTAGCACACAAGTGCTAGATCACTTCTTGAAGGCCCTGTCCCCAAAGAGGGTCACCATCTGCAGACCTGGGGGAGAGGCCTATCACAGCACCATGAGCAGACGCAGTTCCATCCAAAAGCTCCATGGGTGTTCTCAGACTTGAGGGACTTCCATGAGTAACCCACACATCTGACTTCTTTAAAACACAAAACTCAAGCTCCATACCAAACATACCACGTATTACACACACATGCCATGTACTGCATGTTCCATGTACACCACACCATGCGGTACACACACCACAAATACACCACACATACACCTCACACCCCTCATATTACACACATATTACACATACCTCACACCCACATTCCAAGGTACGTGTCCACATGCACACATCACACACGATGAATTCCATGCACACCTCAGGCTTACATCCACACACATGACTCGCACATCACACACCCCACACACACCTCATGCCACGCTTTCCATACAGCCACCTCTCAGTCAGGCCTGGCTTCATGTGCACAGGACCTGTGTCCCCTTAGTGCACTGCGGCAGCCAAAGAAATGCATGTAAGCTGTCACTGTGGACTTGCTGGACACACTGGATATTTTCCTTACCTGAGAAAAAAACATAGGCAAGAGGCCCGCCAAAGTGATGAGAAGTCAAGTGAGGTAGAAATGCTCTCGGATAAGGCAGCAGCTCACTATTTCTGAAGTGCCTGATGTCCTTTAGGGTGAAAAGGTCCCCTTGAAGCCACTGTCCAGCTCCCAGAGGGCCCTGCCCTCTGGACAGAGTGCTCCGCCACCAAACTGACCGCCTCAGGGTCTAGGGATGTCCCCTCATCCCTACAGGCTAGGGTGTGGCACCAGGCTTTGCATCCAGACTCCTCTCATCAGCACGTTTCATCTCCCCAAGGCCACTGCTCGAGCCCTGCACTCAAGTTCCCGCACTACTTAGGGCCCAGCCTGGGTTCCAGTAGGAAGCTCCGGCTGCTGCAGCGAGCTGGGAGATAGAGACGAAGTCCAAGCCCTGACAGAAAGACAGGAATGCTGGGCTGATAGCTGCAGTCTGCACCAGCATGACCCTGTGGGCTGTGAGGAGAGACTTCAGTAAGCTTGAGACACTGTTCCCACATGAGAGCTATGGCACATTTGTCCAGAAGGTTCCAGCAAGCAGGTGTAGACTGGGTGGGCAAGTGGGGAAGGTCATCCTCAGACTGCGTCCTGCAGCCCTAGGGTCCCTGGCCTGTGGATACTGCTGAAATGACCTCAGGGTGGGGCCCAAGTCCTCTGTCTTGACAGTAGTCTCACTCCCTTCTCATGTCCTGTTCCCTCTGACATCCCAGAGTGGCCTCATCTCAGACATAGCCGCCTCCTCCAAGCCAAGGTCCACAGAGGCTTGAGTGCAGCCACCATAGAACAGCATCACATGGCCAATGTGCTAGACTCTCAGTGCTGGGAGGGTGACACAGGCCACAGAGTCCACATGCACCAATGAGCACCATTTTGACAGACACCTGTGCACCTTCACCCTTACACCAGAGCTGTCTGGGGCCAGGATGCTCTTCCTGTCTCCAACATCAGGCTTTGCACACTCTGCTCCCCCAGCATCACACTTTGCACACTCTGCTGCCCCAGCATCACACTTCGCACAGCTCAACTCCCAGCATTACATCACACTTCACACACACTCCTCCCCCAGAATCATGCTTCGCACACACCCCTCCCTGAATCACTTTTTTTTTTTTTTTTTTTTGAGTTTTTCCTTTTTATTGGTACCGGGGATCGAACTCACGACTGCCTGCTTGCAAGGCAGGCGCTTATGCCGCTGAGCTAAATCCCCAGCCCCCAAATCACTCTTTACACACACTCCTCTCAAGCATCACACTTTGCACTCCTTCGTCCTCCAGCACCATGCTTTGCAGGCATTCCTGTCTCACACGAGTTTTCCCTCCACAGTGCTGACTGAGGTAGAACCCCGGGTCCTGCCGAATCCTGTTTTCATGCGTGTTCCTTTCCTCCTGTGCTCCCTGTGTCTCCATGGGTTGCAGTCTTAGCTCATCGCCCTCATGTGTCTTGCCCGGCTATTTCCACACATGCGTCTTATCCTCTGCAACCCCTGGGCCTGCACCACCAGGGGCCACATCTAAAAAGCCTGGCTCTCCTCACCTGAGGAGTGTTGGCATAGTGCCATCTCCAGGCTGGAGTCTCTCAGACCCCCCTGGAGGTGAGGGAGCCCCTCTTTTGTCCTGTGCTGTCTGTATCTCCAGTCACCAGCTGTAGATGTGCACAAGGATGGTCACTTTGTGCAACTTGTGCTGCTCTTGGTGATTTCCACAAAAGAGGGGCTAAAGGGCTGTGAGAGGTCAAATCACCTTTGTGACCTCCTTGGAAATAAAATTAGACAATTCATCTCAAACAGTACAGCCCGTAGGGGTTGCTGCACACAGGTTGCAAGAAGGATCATAGTTAGCCGTGACACACATGTCCTCTCCTGCTGGAGGCTAGGGAGCACCGCTGCCCCCAGCAGACATGATGACAGCCAAGCAGCCTCAGTTATGGGTAGCCTATCCCAGCCAGCTGCACCCCTAGATGGAGAGCACAGCCCCCAACACCCTCCTCTGTTTGTACATCCAGATCCCAGCATTGAGCCCACGTGGCTCCTGTCACCCTGGCAGCGCGTCAGTTCTCAGGTGACATTAATCTCCATCCAAACCCTGTGTGGCAGCCAGGCTCTGGCAGGGAAATAAATGGGAGAACATTTTCAGCTCTTAATGGTAAATTTTATTGAGCCCTACTTGGGCTGTTATTAAATTGTGACTATGACCCATATTACGTCTGATAGGAGGGATAAAGAAATCATGTACCTATGGGTGATTAGATTACATTCTTTGCTTTATGAACCTATAAGTCCCACGGAGAGAATTATCAATCACAGGCGCCGTCAGTGCTGGGCCTTACACGTGGAACACTAAACTGCCTTAAAACACAGAAAGGAAGAGATCGCTTCCAACGATCTTACATGATTCTGTAGAAGTTCAGGCACGTGAAGCTGGGCCAGCCACGGTGACTCCAGTGGGAATACAGGAGTTGTTATTACTCCCGCTCTCGGCCAGGGTGCTGGGTGGCTGCTCATCCGGCTCTGTCTCTAGCATTCTGGATGCGCTGGCCACTTGCTCTGCAGCTGGAAGCTCAGCTTCAGGGGCCAGGCCTTGTGCTAAGAGGATGAGAGGCAAGGCTTTTGCCACCAGCCCCGCATGCAGTCTTTCTTCTTGTGGTGTCCCTGCTCTGCCACATAGGTCACCACCTCTGGGGGGACATCTGCCACTATCAGACAAGACCCACAAGGAGTTTGCCTCTCCAGGCCGTCCTGGTGCAGGATAGTTGGTGATTCCACTGTGGACAGTGCTTGGTGAGCACACATTAAGAGTGCTCTGCAGCATTCCTCAGTGGAATCAGTACAGTGACGGTCCAGTCTCTGAGTGTGGCACAGGATGTGTGTGTGTGTGTGTGTGTGCACATGTGTGTGTAGGACAACGATGCATGCTGGGGCTGACCTAACAGAGCTCAGGTCCCATAGCAGGAGCCACGGTGGTTTTGGGTTGACACAGTTCTCTTCAGTGGAAAACACTGGTCAGAGTGATCCCAGGGAGCACCTGTACTGCGGCCTGCACAGCCTCCAGCAGGTTCCCCAACACCTCAATCCTCTTGGGCTCACATGGATTTGGGGAGATCCCCATGCATACAGATAAATGTGGAGCCCAGCACTCTACACAGATTATGTGATCAGGGCCAAATCATTGCAAGAGGGCTTCTGATGTGAAAGTTGTTCTCAACTGCACACATGCACACACACACACACACACACACACACACACACACACACACACAGAGAGGACATGCAAGAGTTTAGCACATGTCAGTGCTGAGAAGAAACACATGTTCAGGCAAGCAGTGGAATCACCTCTGTCGACCACAACAAACTCATGAGCTGGAGTCTGTCTCCAGCTGTCCTGCCCTTTCTCAAGGGAACTGGAGCTCCTCCCTCAGGCCCTGAGGAGACGAGGCATGCCTAAGGGGAACACAGGAGACCTGGCTCCAGCCACCCCAGGCTAGTGGACATCCCCGCTGGGACCATCTTCTGCTCTGGTGACTTCTGCTCTTTGTCGACTGGTGCCATCATCATCAGAGCTTCAGCGTTGATCCTAAACGTGAGATGCAGCAGATGCAGGTGACCATAGCCATTAGTAGCAGCCATACTCTGGTTTGACCACAGCCACATGCTCTTCTGGACATTCTACCTGCCACTTCCTGTTCACAACAAGCCCCTTTTGCAGATAAAGAAACTGAGGCACAGGCCCACAGTTGACAAAGGACAGACAAGAGCTGAACCTTCTGCAAACTCCACAAGGGGCTGCCTGGGTACCCTAGTATATGAGTGGCAACAGAAAGAAGACAGAAGAACTCACCAGCCACACTAGCCCAGGGCTGACAGTGATGGGAGCAACAGAGGCCATCGTGCCCAATGCAGACAGAAGGGACCTTCAGAGGCACTTGTGCCCCACCGTAGTGATGCTTTAGAGTACTTGCTGCACTGTGGATGGAGATTACAGAGGAAGGGAAAGCTATTTGCAAGGCAGACACCAGCACCCACCCACAGCTGAGGGTCAGGTGGGGCAGAAGCCACTGTCTGGGCTCCTGTAGGCCAGCAAGAGGCAGAGGCCAGGGTGCCTTGGGATAAATACAGGAGCTGATAAAAAGGTGAGATGGGGCTGAGAGCAGTGTGGCTTTGCTCTGTCGTTATCACGCAGAACACGCTGAAGGGAACAGCTGGGAACTTTCCAGTGCCACCCAGCCAGGCAGAGCTTGTGCTGTCCTGGAGATCCCGTGCTCCTATGGGGAGGCCAGGGTGTGAGACAGGTCTGTACTGTGTGACTCCAGGATCTGCACAGGAAGGGCCAGCAGCTGAGCAAGGGAAAGGAGAGACACCCAGGACACATCACATAGAAGACCAAGGATCAAAGCCCTCACCTTGCTCAAAGTCAGTTACTACACTGAATTATCACTGAAATAATAATGCCAGTTCTGAGATTGCCTGGAGGACCCACTGGACACCAGGGAGCCCACACCACCCTGTGCTGGCCTGAACCTGCGGCTGAAAGCAGAGTCCTTGCCAGTAAGAAATGTGTGTGTCATGCATGTGTTTGCACAGGTATCTGTGTGTGTGGTTGCTGTGGCTCCAGCACTGACCAGCTTGAAAGATTTTGTTTTCATGGGGCTGGAAGTTTAGCTCAGCGGCATAAGCGCCTGCCTTGAAAGCAGGCAGTCATGAGTTCAATCCCCGGTACCGATAAAAAAGAAAAAGACAAAAAAAAAGATTTCGTTTTCTTTTCAGTTTCTCAGTACACAGATCCCTGGCCTTTGAGAGACAGAAACAAAAAAAGTACAGGGATGCATGTTCCAGTCCAACTCCTCCATGCCAAGGAGGTGTGCGCAGTGCGGGGACACAGGCGTGTGGGTTCTGCACATGTGTGGGCAGGGGTCCTGCACAGTGGCCCCCTCACCTGCCAAGGGCGCTGCCTCAACTGAACATCCTCCTGTGTCGTGCTTACCAGGGATCGTGGTGACCTTGTATGATTTTTTCCTCGCCCATACTTGAGCACCTCCGCCTTTTCACCTGGAGAACACACTGTATGGCTTCTCTTTGGCTTTTGTTGTTGCTGCTGTTTTGAACTTTAAAGTTTTTTTTCATCAGTCCGCCTTTGCAGACCGTAATGAATGATCACAGTCACTGTGAAGAGGTGGTGCGTGTGTGTGATGCATCTCAGTTCCTCTTACTTCCCCTTCCCACCTCTCCTTCCTTCCCCCCTCTTCTAACATAACTTTAAAGTGTATAAAGTAAAAATTGATAAGATTACAGGAAGTCAAAATATTTATCATGATAGGGGATTTGAAAACATCTCTAATTATTGATAAGTGAAGTACATCAAACATTTTCAGAAACATAGATCTTATAACCAATCGTATTGCATTGAAGAGAAGCTTTCCTGAATTGCTGCCCTTGTGTGTTGGGGGCTGTCACAAAGTACAAGCCCTAAGGCTCTGCAGCAGCTGATCTGTTAAGAGACAGCTCAGAGTGACCCATGGGCACACAATGTAGACATCCCGCCTGTGTGGACCAGGCATGATTCCCACCCAGGGCAGGACAGGGCTCGGTAGCAGGCAAGTGCATAACTGAAGACTTGTGACTGTTTATTGCTAGCATTTTATATTTGATATCTGTGGAGCAGTTGATCAGGGAGATTGAGGGCAGAAAGCAAGTATGGATGAAAACTTCATTGCATACAGGGGAAACAACATGTCGTTAGCAGTCAGATTCTCATGGGTCCCTCTAGGACAATAACACTAGCAGGAAGCTCAGTGACCAGCTCTGCAAGTGACAGGGAGGGAAAGTTACATAGCCTTCCCCAGGCTGAGGGAAAGGGGACCAGGAGTGGGGACACTCTAAGGGTCTGGAGAGAGGTGCCAAAATCTCAAGGAGGGAGGATGCTGGTCAAATGGATGTGGAAGGAGACACCGGGGCCACCTGGCCAATGCCTCAACACTGGCAGGGCTCGGAATGAGGACAGTGGCACCCTGAGAAAGTGGCAGGATCTAGTAGGAGAGAGGACAAAGGACAGGAAAGTCTCAAGCCTCACCCCAGAGACACAGAAGACAGAGAGACTGTAACCATGGAAACTGGGAACCCAGTGGAGGAAGTCACGATTCCATTCTGATGATGGTAGACTACAGGTGTTGGCATCCTGCACGTACCCCAAAAGGGCATACCCTACTGCCACACTACACAACACACCAGCCTCGGGCTGTTAAAATGGCCCTTTAAAAACATATTCTCAACCAGAGGTTTGTTTTTTTTTTTTAAATCACTGGGAAAAAGAGAAATCAATGGCTGATTAAATTATCCAGTTTGGAGGAATCAGAAGCAAAAGAATAGAGTATAGTTTGAGTCCCTGTGAAGATAATTCCAAGTGGGCATCTCAGAAATGCTGGGGCAAAGCTGCAGGGTATGTGCCCCAATGAGATGACCCACCAGGTGTCCGGAGGGCCCAGGACACAGAGGCGCCCAGGTCAGGCTATGGCCACACCCACCTTCCCTTGTAGACACCAGCACACATCAGGCTGCTTCCGAGGACGAAAAGCTGCTGTTTCCATCTGGCTGCTGTCGCATTGTGTGTGAATTTGTGTGGTACTCTGAATAACCGTGATTGACTGTGTAGAGCTATGGCAAATCTGTCCTCTGCACACAGGCCAACCGACTGCCCCTGAGTCTTCGTTCACATCCCCCTAAACGCTTACACAATCACTCACAACACGGGCAGGAGCAGCACTTCCTGTGACACCTTCGCTCGGAGCCTAGTACCGAGTTGAGCTCTGGGGGCAGCCGCTGTCCTTTCATTCAGAGCCTATTTCGTGCATTAAAATGTACATCAGCCCTACCTGAGGGGCGATGGGAACAGCGCATCGCCAAGCAATGTAATCATGAAACAAACATTTACCTGCTTGTCGCTCTACTGTTAATTCCAGTGCAATTCAGGGGAAAGACTGTTTTCAGACAATTATAGTAGGCCAGTAGCTTGTAAGTGACAAGATGCATCCAAAGAGCCTTTAACCAAAAAACAGAGATAAGTGGAAATACTATTTCACGCCGCATCTTGTTTCCCTTCACTGAAACACAATGGCATCACTTAACCACTTTCAAAAAAGTCAGCTTCCTGCCCCAGCAAGGAGAGTCTTTCTGCCAATGTTCAATCAAGGAGTCTTAGCTAAACTTTGTAAGGGATACAGTCTGGTCATGAACACAAAACATATACACTAACCTGAACACCGACTCTGAAGCACATGCTTTAGAGCACTGTTTGTGAATAATACAGGCTAGATCTTTACAAAGAGGTAGACTGAAAGATAGATGAACTCCAGGAAAACAGTTCTGCTTAGAAAAGCCTAGTTTTCTGTTGTTGCTTTGTATAGTTTTGTGGTGCTGGTGATTGAACCCAGGGCCTTTGCACTAAGCTGCATCCCCAGCCCATTTTTATTTGTTTGTTTATTTTTATTTTGGGACAAGATCTCAGAGTCTCTAAGTTGCCCAAGATGGGCTAGAACTTGCAGTTCTCCTGCCTCAGCCTCCCGGAGAATTTTGTTTTGTTTTGTTTTGTTTTTTAGAATACTACGGTGAATGGACAAAGCTAGTAATAACAAGACATCGAGACTTCTCTTGTCCTTTGAATTACACGGTTGAAGTTTAAAAAAAGAAAGTCTAAAAAAGTCCAGAATGTTTGTTAACCAACCTATCAAGCATAAATCATGCATAAAAATGTTGGTAAAAATGCTAAAGCAGATTTTTGGTTTTTAAGGATGTGGTTTCACGTAATCACGTTAAGTCACTGGGGGAACAGCAACTATATCTCATAATAGAGTTTCTATTTTTGGATTTAAAAAAAAAACTTTAGATCTTTCAGAATATGAGCCAACTTGCGTGCTAATGACAAAAGCTGGGTTACACTTATCATTCTTCTCAAAACAAAAAAAGGGGGCTTGCATTTTTGTTTTGGATGAAGAATTCACATTTTTAATGAAGAAAAATATTTGAGCAAATAAATTCAGTATTTTTCAATTCCAGTGAACTTTAATACTAAGACCTTGATTTAATAGCAGTATGTTCTGGCTGCAGAAATCTTTATGCTGGGACTCTGCCCTGGCTGCAAGCCAAGTGCACAAGGGACAAACTTGGGTCAGGGCCTGCAGGGTGGCCGCAAGGCTCCACAAGACATGCATCCTCTCCTTCAGTCCAACTGCGGGGGGCTGGCTTCTCACAGCCACCTCATATTCACCCGGGAAGAGGCCGTAAGAAATAGCTATTTACTGACAGCTGATGAATTTCAGTTTAGAGTCCTCCGAAATAACTATGCCAATATCTTCTTAAGTATTCTCAGCGCCAATTACTGATGTCCCTAGAAGGGTGACCGATTGGAACACCTTGCTTTCCAACACTCGCTCCTCGTTACTACCAACTGTTATTCTGCTTAGTAGAAATTTGAAGAATGCTATAATGTTTACAAAGATCTAGTTCTATTTTTAAATTGTAATTTTACATCATTTTATAAATGGATTTCTAAATCCAAAGTATTTGAAATACAGTTGGTGAACTGTAGTTATATACATTACTGTTATTTTAAAAACAAAACTGGCTTAGGATTTCATCAAATCAAGCATTTTCAAAGATTTTTAAAACTATTTGCTACCTTGCCATATCATTTTAAGTTCCTGAAAGTATTTTGCTTTATAATAATCATATTTCCCATGACAGCTGATCTCTATTTTGCTTAAAAATAGGTTTTCTTTGATAATTGAGAACACTGGAGATTTATTTTAATCACTGAAATGTGTAATCTCTACCAACCAGTCCATTGTTCCCTAAATTGAAAATGAGATTCTTATCACAGCACATTAGTTTTTACACATGACAAATGTGAAATACACTTTAAAAGAAGAATTAGCAGGAATCAGCAAATCATTTTAAACTACTTACATTGTTTAGGCATTTTATGAGTCTTGGGAAATTCTACAAATACCAGATTTTTTTTATTCATCAGCCAAGCAACCCTAACTTCTGCATGAATTATGTGCTTGTTTGTCATATATAAATGATTTCAATCAACATGCTTCAGAAATCTTTTGTATCATGTTGAAATTTTTCAGAAATGTTATCAAAATGTTGTAGATTCATATTTATTATTAAATGAAGTCTAGGGCCTCCTGGCCAAAACATTTAAAAATTCTTCAAGATAGCTAAATCATGATGGCCAAGAAACTTTTCCAGAGTATTTTTCTTGAATTAAAAGAAATATTTTTCCTGTCCCAAAAATGAGAAAGGAATTTAAAGTTAAACAGAATGAGAATCTGGTGGCTTAGCTTACCTGTGTCTGGAGCAGCAGGCTAAAAGGATCCACACTGAAATGTACAAATGCTTCTTTTCCTGAATTCCTTGAAGCATATCTTTTGCCTTGGGAACTGACCAGCATGGGGTGGGTCAAGCAGAATCCTGGAGGTGGAGTCCATGGAAAATTGGGGGTTTTGGATCAGGGCTGTCCAAGAGAGGTCACTGCCCATCACAGGGAATGCCAGAGTGTCCATGGGGGAAAATGTACTTTTCTATGAATGCCTATATGGTGCCTTTAAAGCCATCTCATTTTTTTGAAAGTGACTAAAATCCAGCTTACACTGAGCCATCTCCACACCCATCCTTCCTCCACCTGTTGGAAAGACTGGGGTTTTCAGTTCAGAGCCAATCTGGCATGTGGAGCTTTGGCATTGGAAGCAGGGTACCTTGGGATTACGGAAAACTACCTGAAATAATTCTTTCCTTACTTGTCACATCACGTCTGTAAAGAAGACAAAGCTGGCCATCTGGCCTGGAGCTGCAGGCTCTACTCTGGACTTCAGCCTGTGTTCAGTGGCTCTAGGACTCTAGAGATGACAGCCAGGTATTCCCAGAGAGGGTCCTCTGAGACTGAAGGGCAGGACACAGGTCATCCCATGTCGTTATGAAGGTCTCTTCCACTGGAGGAGGAGGGAACAGACTAAGCGACCTGCAGCCACCCTCCTCTGGGGACCTCCTCCAGGCTGTTTCAGCTCAGCCACTCTACGGCCTGGGGAGCCTCCAGGCTATGCACATTCCTGGCCTGACCTCAAGCTCTCAGGCCACACCACTCCACGTGCCCCAGATCCACAGATGCAGCAAGAGGGCCTGGAGAGAGGCCAGGAACCCTGAAACTAAGCTTGAGCTGGGCAAGTCCCCACCCCAGGTCAACAAGGGATCCCGGACCCTAGGGCGCCATCCGCTGGCCTGGAAAGCTGAGGCTCCCATGCTGGAGGAGAATCCTCGGTCTCAGGACTATGCGATCCTTTTCAGCCTCACAAACCAAGGATTGTGCGAACCTTTTCAGCCTCTACACCCCAGGAGACAGGAAGGGTCAGGTTCCTCACCACACGCATTCTCTGGCGCACACACAAACACGCGCACACTGGCACACGCAAGCCGTTGCTATGGAGGGCCCGTTGCCAGCCAGGCTGAGGGCGCAGGTCTGCTCCTGCAGGCCTAGCTCCCCGCCCAGTACTTACCCAATCTGCCTCTCCTCCTGCCCGGGCTCCCCTTGCACGCCACCTCCTCTCCCCTCCCTGTCCTCTGTCCTGGGCCGGGCCTGCAGCGAGAGGCTGGCGGGGGGTCTCCAAGGCTCAGAGCACTGGTTGGCCACAGCCGTGATGAGGATCCTGGCAGGAAGGGACAGGGACCGCTGCCGCTAGACTCTGCCAGCCGGGATGCTCAGAGCGCAAGGGCGTGTGGGCACATCTGCGTCCCTCTGTCCACCTGGGTTGCCTCGCCGCGGATCTGCAGGGCCTGTCCTTGGGAGGACTACAAGGCCTAGGTGACTTACCTCTACGGGCCTCTAGATGTAAGGGCAAGGCTTCCTTCTCCCCTTGGCCTCTTCCAGCCCCAGTAGGTCTGAGGTTGGCACCTTAGGCCTTCTCCTCCTACCTCTGCGGACCGTGGCCCGTGCACCACCGCGTGCCCTTGGACTATGAGACTGCACTCCCAGCCCTATAAATAAGAGAAATAAAAGTGAAAGTGGAGTCCCCGGAATGCGCTGCGCTGCCGAGAGGCGGGCTCGGCAAGACTGGTCCGTGCCTGCAACCCTGCCCGGGCCATGCTCGCCGGCTCCGCTGGGTGGATGCGGTTTCCAGGAGAGGGGCTCGAAGCCCAGGCTTTGGCGCAGGCAGGTCCTGGGCGGAGCTGGAGTGGAGGACCAGGCAGTGCAGCCCCTCCCGGAACAGCCCGGTGGGGGCAGCGTGTTGCCCGAGGGGACGGCCGGCAAGTGCGGGAGGGGCGCGACCAGGAGACCGAGGGGTGGTTCGGCCATCGTCTCCAGCTGTCCCGAACGCGAGGAACAAAGGGGAGGCGGCAAGAGAGGGGACTGGGAGGAGGGCGCCAGGGCTTCCAGAAAAGGAGTCACTAAAGAGCCCTCCACAAACTGTCATCTGCATGTGACAGGATCTGCTCCCCCGCTCCTTCCTTTCTTCCCCTTGTTCCTGCAGCTGTGGGCCTTGGAGAGCGCATTGTGCGCACAGATGTTGGGTTCCAACTCCTGGCTTGGGCCGCACCACGGGGGTCCGCGGGGGTTCCGCGCGCGGGGGTGCAGCAACCTGTAGCTGTGACCAGGGGCTTGAGGAGGGAGATGGGGAGGGCAGGGGAGCGCGGCTCCCTGGAGAAGACCTGAGAAGCCCTGTTACAGGGTGCTGTGTGACCCGCGCCAAGGCGCCGCTGGAGGCTAGAGCGACTAGAAAAGAGGTCTTGTGACGCTTTCTGCCCGTCCCACGAGAGCAGTGGTTCAGGCCCGGGTTATTACCTGGGCTGAGGAGAACAGAGTAAGGACATGGCTCGGATTCCTAGGTTTTCGCCACCGACTACTTCCAGCTTTTGAGTTGGCAGCTCGCAGACCGTCTGCAAAGCCTCAGTTCCCGGACTCCATGCACTTTCTATGCACATCCGAGGCCTGCAACCAGGGGAGGGGTTCCCCGAGGAACTGACCTGCTTCAATTTGGAAAGGGAGCATAAAGACTCCCACCGCAAAATTAAAACGGCTTGAAAGATTGGCCGCGAATTTTTCTCCTGCAACTTTCAACACCCCCACCTACCCCTCACATAACCGAAGGTCACAGTAGGGCCATTCTAGCTGACTTTTCTTGCCAGAGCCCTCCTCCATGGCTCCCAGATGTTACCCTGAACTTGCCCAGGATGAAGTAGGAATCAAGAATGAAAGTAGAAAGAAAGCCCTGCAAGGACCTGGATGCGGCGCGGTACCCGTGACTGACAACACCGATGTCCATTCATAGTCTCGGGCGGGAGAGGGTATTCGGAGAGCCGCAGCCCCTTAGCCAATTGCTGTCAGCAACATGTGGGGGGGGGGGACATCGCTATAGCAACCGGTGGCTGGGCTGCGAGCCGCGCCACCGCCGGCCGGGTGCGCGCCGGGCCGGATATAAGGCGGGGCGCGCCGGCCGCGCAGGTTGGAACTGCGCGCGACCGGCAGCCCTAAGGGGACTGTCCCGCGCCCGGCCTGCGCCCTCTCGCGCCCGCCGCGTCCGGTCCCACGCGCCTAGCCGGGGGGCCGGGCTGAGGCGGAGCACGCAGAGCCGCGCGGAGAGGCCGCGCCAGAGCTGCGTGCGCCCGCGGGCTCCGAGCGGTGCCGCCGCCGCTAGAGCTGCGACTCACGGCACCTTTGTCTCCACCGGCCTCCGAGAAGTTTGTGGTCAGAAGCAGGATGGGCTGGCTCATCGGTGGCTCCAGCACAGGGAAGCGGCTAGCTGTGATGATGGCGCCGCTGTGGCCAGCGGCCACTGCGCCCCGAGGCCGTTCGCTCGGGCACTCGCCCCCACTTCCTCCCGCTGGGTCTCCCGGCTCCCACCGAGCTGCAGGTAACCAGGGGTGCCCACCCCCATGGACACTGGGTGGAGCGGCCCGTGAGCCCTCGGAGAGGGGAGAGGCTCTAGGGCGGGGATGGGAGCTGGAGGAAGCAGGAGGGGGACCCCCCAGGATCACCGGGCACGAGATGGAAGGGCGTGGAACTGGAAAGAGGGTGGAGATTGTGCGTGGCGGCTCAGATGGGCGACCCGGGCGAGCATCGCACCCGGTTCAGGGGTAAACTGACTCGCGAGGAACACCTGTCAAAGGCTCGGTGAACGGAAGATCCGAGTCCACAGGCTTCTTCAAGTGGGGCTGGGATAAGTGTCGAGGCTGAGCCCGCAGAGGCAGCCCTTCTGCACACAGAGTGGGAGGGGGTGGCCCCCGCCTGCGCGGCAAGACCTCTTGCCCTCCAGTCCGAGGAGGCTGGACCGCGGCCTGCCCGCTTCTCCGCGCGCCGCTCCCAGCCTATGTCCCGCTTTGCTGGCCACTGGAGCAGTTTGGACCAGAGATAAAAGGGTGATGGGCCAGTGGTGGTTCGGCAGGGATATGGGGAGAGGCGTGGGAAAGGAGGTGGACACCAAGGATGGAGGAGCAGCCTGCGTGGAGAGGAGCAGCATGGGGCATTTTCCTTCCCATGCATTTTGGGGCGCTCTTCACTCTCTTAGCAGGGTCCGGGAGCACCTCCCCCATCCAGGAATCTCGGGCAGGGAGTTAGAGAATGAGTGGGCTTTGAGGAAGTAAGGGGGGGCTCCGAACTTCCAGCGTGGGGGAGCACCTGGGAGCAATCGGGTCCCCTCCCACTGAGGGACCCTGTGTCCGCCCCCCACGAGGTGTGCCTGACCAGTGGAACCAGAGAAACTTCTGAGTCGGGCAGTTTGGAGGAAGGCTTCATTTTTCCGTGCCTACAGTGTGATGTAGTTGGAACACTGCTCTGCTTCTTGGCTCCCTAGGTAGCCTTCAAACCCCAGATTTAGGGGTGAAAATCTGGACAGCATTGACCTGGAGCCTAAGATTCCCAACTTTCTGGGTCCTCTGCAATAAGCTTATAGTGCTCCAGGCTGGCCTCGGGGCAAGCAAGATGGGTTGCTGTCGGGGTGGTTGTGTCCAGCACATCCCGCAAAGGACAACCTGAAGGCTCCCGGAGAAGGCTGAGTTGCACATGGTTCTGCTGTCCTTCGGTCACATCCCCAACCCCTCAACCCCCACAGGCATCCTTTGCCAACCTAAGTTCACTGGTTCCTGCTGGGTTGTGGGAGTCTCCTGGCTGTGGAGTGTCTGAGAGTTCCTCTAAACTGGCCGAAATCCCCTGCTACAGGGCCAGGCAAATATGGGAAGAAGTGGAGGTTTGTGCAGAAGAGGGAGATGGAAGCGCTTCCCTTCCCACCCACACGTGAAGAAATGCCCACCCACCCAGCAGGTGCACCCGGCTCAGCCCAGAGCACAGTGGTCAAAGTATGCAGTAGCAGAACTGTGAAGCTCCGAGATTCCTGGATGGGCACAGACGCTGTTGGGGATGTGAATTCCCCCCAGCATACTATGCTTTGTGGCCTGGAAGGCTGGGCCAAGGCATTGTCCCTGCTGGGAAGGGGACTCTCTCAGGCTGTGAATACCCCAGCTCCCAGGAGCTCTCAACCCTTTGTGTCCTGTGCTATGGTCTGATCTTTCCAACCTCTGTAGGGATCTCCTGAATTGAGGGGGGAAGGGGTGAAAAAGTCGCAGGCCTGCTGAGGTCCGCCTCCCTGGGTGGGGGAGGGGGCTGGAAGCCCACCATGGCTTCCCTGGACCACAACTGACCAGGCCTGCGGTGCTAGCACAGGCTTCCTGGCCTGCATATGGCAGGCAGAGCATGAAGTTCCGGGCCTGAAGTGGGTTTCGTCCTTGCTGGAGTGGAACGGGATGGGTGTTCTTCATCCACATGGAGACGTTACCCTAGGCAACATCGTCCACCAAGGCACTGGAGGACACACCAGGCCTCTGATGAGCTCAGCGAGCTTGAGCTCTGAAGTAGTAAAAATACTGTTGTTAGAGACTCCGAAAGGCGGGAGGGAATAGGCTTCCTCCAGGGGCCGCTCCATTCCGGCCTGTTTTCACTGGCTGGTCCTCTCTCCTCAACGCTGGACAATCTGTGGCTAGGAAGCCCTGCTAAAAATCAGTACATACTAGTGTTTTCCTCCCTTTATCGTCAGTATCGTAAATCTTCCCCAATGTCTTAAAACAGTATTTTTCTAAAACTAATATTTTTAGGAGTGTTTAAAAATGGCAAATAAACAATTTATCTTTTCTTTGGCCACTTCTTTGCATATGCCTGAAAAGCCTTGACAAATAGCCCATTTTAAAACAGCACATTCCAACTTATTTTCATTAAAGTTTGCATTTAAGAATAATTATTTCTTGAAAATTCTTTTCTTTTGCCCATCTCTCCCTCCCCTTTTTTTGGCTACTTGAATGGCAGATTTGCAAGTACAATTTCATCTGCACAGAGGAACAATAGCTTTCAGTAGCACAAAGGACTTCTCCCACCCTGAATTCAGACCGCAATGCCTCTTGCTCTGATAATAGCTTCTGAAAAGATTTTGTAATGCAGAGAATTAATACATGATTATTTCTGCCTGACTTCTCTCATTTATTAGAATTCTGTGGCAAATTCCAAATTAAAAATAGTTCACTTAACAGCTTTAAAAAATACTTTTAAAATATTGTAAGACACCCCTCCTCCAGATTTTTAAATATGGTCACTTGTCCTGGCCTGAAAACTGTGAAAAATTGTGACCAGCTTTAAAGTAATAGTTACTATATTTTAGTAAACAAAGTAGTAGTTACTATATTTTAGTAAACATATTTTAATACTTTTAGAATTAAATTTCCAAATACTTCTAGGATGCTGACATACAGAACCAAAGACAAACTTGTAATAACTCATTATCGTCTCTAAAACTAATTTCTGAATTTTACAGGGGAAAAGGTCTTTGTAATTAGAGTAATACCCATCCTCACAGGTCATGACCCTCACCAAAGAGGAGAAGGGGTGCCTCCCTCCTCTCATTTTTAGTGAAGGGCTCTGCTACCCTTAAAAAACATTCAGACAAAGCATAGGCTTGCACTGGTTGCAAATCAAATTCCATAAAAATGACACAAACAAATGCAACAAAAATACTAGAAGTTTAATATTGGTAAAATTGAATGTCCATGTTCCTACCTGCTTTTAGAACAAGCATCTTTTAAAATTGCAACTCTGTGACTCAGATAATGATGGCCTTGTAAACTGGTTACATTATACAACCTTGCAAAAAACAATGCTAGATTTGCTACATGTCAACAAATATTTACCATAAAGTTCTGCATTGTGGCTGTCTCAGGTCTCACAATCAAGTCTGGGTATAGAATATTTCTTTTTTTCTTTTTCTTTTCTTTTAACCTTCCGCTCAGACAGGGGATAGTTCTAAGGGCACTGGCCAGAAAGGGCTCTCAGCCCTCTCCTGAGTCAGGCACCTTGGCCTGTCAGCACAGATCAGAATGCGCAAGCAATCGGGGCCATGCCTGCAGACACTGGCTTCTAAGAGCAGTTCCACAAATGCCGCTAAGCCAACACACTTATTTTGAATCACAACTTTTGCAGTGCTATAGATTCCACCTTTGAGGAGTTGCAGGTGGAGACAGGAGAGGAAATCTGCAACGTTGTACTTCACCTCACCTCTCAAGATGCATCTAAACGGATGTAGTCAGTTTGATTATTCATTCCAACTACTTAAAAACCATTGTAGCGTTCCCACCCCAACACCTCTGTGCCAAAGTGCTGGTGAGTGTGCCTCTTACACGGGATGCTCATCACCCAGCCTTGTGACCTGCTTCTGAGGGTTGCTGCTTCTCCACGCTCTCCTGCTCCAAACTTCAGAAAGAGCACTGCAGAGTACAGAAGGAGGTGTCTGCTTTTAAAAGACGGCTGACTGTAAATGTCAAAGTCATAAATATTTAAACATCGTTTTCTTTCCATTTCAAGTCAAGACTGATAAGATTCTTCTAATTAGTCTGGGCTGTCTTCCGGCCCAGCCCCAGGAAAGCACCTGATCCCCACCAGCCCCTCAGTCTGGGGAGCCGGAGCAGGGGGAAGAGGGGCTTCCTTCCTCTCTTGGCTCTTAGCGCTAGGGCCACACCGGGCTCAGGTGCATCCTGGAACACAAACTCCCCTCGAACCGCCTTTCTCAAAGTTTCCTAGTTATCAGGGCTTTAAGTTTGTTTTTAACTCCACAAAAAGCGATGAGGTAAAGTAATTGTAAAGTTATTTAAACTCAAACTCGGTACCCAGAAAGGGCATTTGCGCTGCCTTTTAAATTTTCTTTAATTTTCGTTTAGCCCGGGATTCTTAAAGCAAGACCTGCACCCCAGTTTCCGTGGCCATCCACCCGCAGCCCAACGCTAGGTGGGGTGTGTGGGCTGCTGTGGGGGGCAGGAGGGAAGGAGGAGCGACTTTTGGGGTTCCACCCCCAGTGGCCCCTAGGGTCAAACCCTCTAGGTCACACACCGAACCGCAGCGGCCCCTCTGGTGACCACGGCCCTCTCCGCGGGCTGCAGGAAGAGCCTCCAGGAGGAGTCGGTGGTACCAGCCCGGGGACGCAATCACCCCTTCCCAGGCGCAGCGCAGACCCGGGAAGAGGGGAAGGAGGAGATGCGTGACTCAGGGAGGTGGGATCCCCTCCTCTGCCCAAGGCTGAGATCCAGCGGAGCCTTAGGGAGAGGAACCCTAGACCTTCACCATCTCTCCTTGACATTTGTCTTTGACCTTTGAGTAAATTCCAGGCGCCCCGCGCCCGTCCCGCTTCCTGCTGGGGCCCCATGAGTCCACACGAGACCACATCAACTGTGAATTTCGTGGGCTGGCAGCAGCTGCCGGAAGAGCCCGGCGCGATGCTTGGGGCAAACCCTTCCCGGGTTGTCCCTGCCCGCGCGCGCCTGGCTAGTAAAGGCGAGCCCCCGCCACCTGCTTTGCTCTGATGGGTTTGCGAAGTCTCGGTTCCCGGGCGCAGTCGGCCACGTGGCGCGCCGGCCCTCGCCTTTGTCGCCCAGCTGTGTGCCCGGCTAGGGAGCGACCCAGGGTGGCACGGGCCACTCAGGAAACGCTCCCACGCGGGGTCAGTGGGGCCTCTCTCTGCAGGACCAGCCCGGGCCCCAGGTGACCCCGTGAGCCGGACCCCAGTTGCGGCTCCTGGAGCGTCCCAGATCGCGCGGCGCGGGGACCGGGGTCGGCGGGCGAACTGCGCTCGCGCTGCTCCGCGTGGCTCTGGGTCGCCGTGGTTCCCAGGGAATTCTTCCTGGAAGTGGTTGCGTGGGCCAGGCCCGGAGAAGGGGGAGGGGAGGAGGCAAAAGGGAGGGGTCTCCGCCGCCCTCTCCACCAGAGGCGGCTGCGCTACGCCCACTCGGCTGGCTCTGCGCCACCCCTCTTGTCCTCGGCCCGACCTGGTCCCCGTCCTCTCCGCTTGCTCAGCGCCCCCTCCTTTCCTCTCGCCGGCAGCTCAGCACCCCGAACCTCGCAGTCTTCTCGAGCGAGCGCGCATCCAGGCAGGAAAATCCGGGCGTCCCTTCTCATTTAACCCGCGTTTCCATTAACTCGGTCCAGGCGCCCGTTAATCCGCGCGCGGAAGGCAAAAGGAGGCTAATTAATGACCAGCTTTTCCAGTCAAGACCGGCGATAATTGCTTTGGTGGCCTTTATGATTACAAGATAAAAATGGGCCCGGCCTGACATAAGAGGCACTGTGTACACTCGGAGGCAGGAGGAAATGAAGAGTTGGGAGGCTGAATGCGGAGCAGAAAATTACTAATAGAAGAGAGATAATGAATAGGCCGGCCAGGCATTCATGGGGAAAAATCCATTTTGTTACCACGCGAAATTAGGTGGTGGAAAGGAGTTTGCTAATTGTTCTCATCTTGTAGCAACCAGGACTGAGGCAGAGCGTGCTTTCCCATTCATTTCCCGGGTAATTGTGGGGGCTCGCTGGCCGGGAGCTGTGGGCGATGCGCCCGCAGCCATCCATTCTCTTGTGGCGCTTTTAATTGTCGCTAATACACCTCCTAATGAAGCTAATGAGGGGCACCAGGGCTCCTCGCCCTGGAGACCAGTGACTGGCACCAAAAGGTATTCTTGTGTTTTGTCCCCACCCCACGAGGATGCAGGCAGGCTGAGGCCTTGGGGGCCTCAACTCAGGGATGAGGGGTGCACTTCTGGGCTACTCACTCCCATCCCCACCCCAGCTGATTCTGGGCCACACCAAGGTATCAGGTATAGCCAGATGCTGGGTGCTCCCCAAAGCAGGTGGGCCTTTCCAGGATAGCAAATTCCCCAAACATTAGGAATGATACGGGGGCAGCAAAGAGGTGACACCTTCCCTGCAGAACTGCCAACTTTGTAACGCCCCTGGAGCGTCCCAGATTGTGGGGCGCGGGGACCTGGGTCCGCGGGCTTTACCCTGTGCATGAGTCCGCCTCTCCTGAAGACACTCACCTTGTGTGCTGTGGAAGGGGCACACACTTAGTATTACCTGGGGCAACAAATTACCTGCTGGGCACTTTACATTGTTCAGTGTGAAAAATATCCACTGGTGAGGAGAGAGACACAGACCCCTTGTCATCAGGGTGCATCGTCCCTGGTGCTGTTATGTTGGCTCCCTTTGAGGGGCTCCAGCACTGTTTGTGGGTGCTGCACCCTGGCTTGTCCCATGTCACCAGTATTGAGGTTGCAGCAGAAATGGGCTTTCTGGGAAGTGGTGATTCCCAAAGTGCTAACGTGGGCTCTCTCTTTGTCCTGCAGAGCAGCAAGCTCCTGCCTCATGGGAGAGAGCAAGAGGACTCCACAAAGTTCATCGTGCTCACGTTCCTGTCCCTGGCTTGCATCGTGGGGGTCCTTCTGGCTTCCAGCCTGATCTACTGCCTCCGCCACAGCTCCCACCACAAGCTAAAGAAGAAGCTGTCGGGCCTGGGGGGTGACACCAGTGCAGACGCCACTGCTGCCTACCAGGTAAGAAAAGACTGCTTTTGAAGTACTTGGCTGGCCTCACGCACTGGCCAGATCTTTTTTCTCTTTTACTTGTTCCTGGTCCCTCCCCCACCACCAGCACTTGTTCGTTTATTCATAGTTTGGGTTCTTTTATGATGACAATTTGAAGTTTCTCATTAGCATTCATGTAAATACCTTGCAACCACAGCTTTATGGCTCTGTATTAATCTTACAGTGTTCTTGGATAGTTTCATGTTAGCTGTGAAAGTGGGTTGCTAATTAGAGATATGGAAAGGGTACAATACATGAATTATGTATTATCTGTTATCTTTCTTAGTTTGGCCACTATTTATGAACTGCCAGAATTTCAGGATGAACTGGTTGTGTAGCTGTTTGGCGATAGCTCTTCAATCACCAACTTCCTGAGGGTCCTAGAGGAAAAGCCCCTTTGACCTGATCTGTTGCTACCCTGTGCTGGGACTCAGATCAAGTGAATCTAATGCTGATAAATGGGAGATGAACCCAGATGCCTGCAGTAGGTGGTGAGCGCTGTGTGGGGATGTGTTGAGTGCCAGCAGATGCACCTGGAGAAAAAAGGCGACCAGAGCTGATGGTAGACACAAAGCCTCAGGCTTCTGGGACATTCTGTAGTATTTCATACTTAATAACATTATGTAATAAAATAAGACTTCACACAACAGTGCAAGCTGGGCTATCTACAAGTCAGGGTGTTTGGTTTCTGCAATATAAAATATAAGTTAATTTCATGTATATCCAGTATCCCTAATTGGGAAGGTAAAATAATTTACTTAATTGCCATTTTAAAAGTTTAAGCAATATGCATTGTCAAGGTTTTCTCCCATTGGACTGGATCTTTGTCTTCTGTGGTCATGTGACCATGGTATGTAACAGTGTGTAAATAATTGATATGTTTCACAACAGACGTCAGTACCGTTGTTCTGTCATCTGCATTACCAAGGTAGACTTTCCAGCTCCTTCTAGGAGATGCCTGCTGCCCCAGCTGGCATGGAGCTGGCTAGATTTAGCCCCATAGGCCACCCTATCCCTTCCCCATGGCAGAAGTTGAGACAAATTCATAAAATTTCTGGGCTTAAAAGAGAACAGGGAGAGAGAGAGAGAGACAGAGAGAGAGAGAGAGAGAGAGAGAGAGAGAGAGAGAGAGAGAGAACACCCCATAGCTTCTCCTCCAATTTCAAAATGGTTAGTATTGTCACTGAATGGTGAAAACCTCTAGTCTCCTGGAGGGGTCACAAGCCCGGTCAGGATGATCCTTTTCTTATAAAGAAATGGCAACTTCAAATGGGTAGGAGATGGCATTTCAGGCATAGTGCGTAGCTTTGCTTCAAAGCAAAAGAAAAACCACGTTTGAAGAAGCAGCCTGAAAAAAAATGCCACATAAACTAGTAAGAATTTACCCAGAAGTTCTATTGAGCAGGGCCATCAATATAGGATGCCAGGTCTTCAGGGCCAACCTTGTGTCGAAACATAAATAAATTATCACCTCATTCTGTTCCAAGTGTGAGAGACAGGAGATCATACAGGCGTAGATTTCTAGAAAGCATGGCATCCTTTGATATACTTTGAAATTCAAATATAAAATATTGATAGAATGGAAAGGTTAGACTTGCATGCCAAAATGACTAATTTTTACAAAAACGCAGGTTGAAATTGCATACTTAGAACTGAGTTTGTGATAATTAACAGAAAAAAAGTCTTCCCTGTGACAGCTCTAATTAATAGTATCTGTAATTAAAATCATGCCCTTCCAGCAGGAAAATTGTTTGAATTTCTTAGAGTGACCTTTTGTGTTCCTCCTGGGGACATGGTGGGTAAGTTGATATTGATTTTATAATGAGCTCTGGTTTGTTTAATAAGAATCTGTAATCCAGACAATAAATGAAATGTGTGCTTTTCTTCAATCCAGATTAATAAAAAGGAGAAAAGACAGAAGGAAGAAAACTTTTTTTTAAAAAAATATGATCTAGAAATTTGGAAATGAGAGTGAAGAGTTTCTGTTGAGCTTAGTTCTGAAATCACTACCAGACACCCTTGGGGAACCAGCTGGGTTAACAGGGTGTGCTCTCACCCCTCTGGAGAGACTCTGAGCACCACAGGGCAGGATGCCTTCCATAAGACAGAGACCTCATGGCTTTGGCTTTGCATTTAGCTGGTTGATGTACTAAGAACTGAAACCACTTAGGTTACCAAGCGGGCACCCTGGTGAATGAAGCAGATGTTAACTCATGACTGTATCCGTAGCTCCTCCATTTTTCTGTAGCTGGCATTGAGATACCCTTCAAGTTTAAAAACCTTATAAAAAGTTTTTCAAAATATTGCAAGCATAAAACTGTGCATTTCAGGGAAGGCACCTAGCTAGTTGCCTCAGTGTACTTACCTTTAAATCATTGAACTCCTGTAGTAAATATAAGGCTATAGGCAGCCTCACCTTAATTTCCATTGCTGGGTTACAGGGAAAGTTGAACAATTCAGTACTATACTTCATCTCATGAGGCATGGTGTACAGACTCCCTACGTTATTTTGAAGTTTTTGCAAACCATAAAGATTCTGTATAAGTAGCCTGGGGACAACAGGACAATTGGTAACAATATACAAAGTTCTGTTAATGTCAGATCTCAAAGGTCTGGCAAGGAGAGAGCTGGGTGTTCATACACAGGGAAGGAAGGCACTGAGTGCCTTCAGGGGCATTCAAGGGGCGTAGAGGTTCTAGGATGGCTGGTTGATGTTCCAAATGGAGAATCCCTGTGTCCCCACTTAGCACTGGTGTTAGTATCATTGAGAACACTTATAGCGGGAGCCAAGCAGGCCCTCAGTGGTGCCTGGCAGCCCTCTGCTGAACATGGTGAGGACAGCCTTGCAGCCCTGATGCCCGCGACCACAGAACTCAGGCTGTGGGTCCTAGCAGGTTCCCTCAAGATCGCTCCCTGCAGCCTCAGATGATGAGACTCTAGTGTTAACATCTATATCTCCTTCCTGCAGGAAGCCTGGTCCCAAGACCATTAGGATTCATCACTTTCTGAGTTATGTGAGGGGGTGTGTGTAGTATTTGTTTTTGCTTTATTTATTGATAAAACCATATCTTTTTTGACGGACTTACCTTTGATACTTTTCCATGATATCAGTCCCATATGATAATCCAGCAAAGTTTAATTTGCTCACATTTTAAAAACTGGATAGACTAGCTTTCTGAATTAACTGAAGTATATTTTTAAATGTCATTTTCAATAGGATGTTACCACTAAACTTTCCCCTTAATGTTTCAGTGAAATTTTTTGTCAAAGTACATACAAAGTAATATTATGTTTGTACTTCATTATCTGAAAACAGATTTGCTTATTTCTATTCTTTCTTTCAAATGAGGACAGCATGTCATATATATGTATGTCATATGGGTCCCTGTGTATTCTTGTGGGACACACCCACACTGAGGGTGAGAATCGTCATGTTTGTTATCCGGATATCTTATGCATTATCTCATGTGGATGTCCCATTTCTAAGGAAGATGGTTGGATAAAACTGTGCAAAAAATAAGTTGTTAGATGATTAGAGACATTCTCCCCTTTTTCTCTCCGAGTCTCTTTGAATGTTGCATCCATTTCTTTGAGGCTTTGATCATCTCGGAACAGCAAGTTTAGTATTCTGCCTGCCCACTCCCCCACCCCAACAGCAAGGCAAAGACTCCTGCAGAATTTTCAGCAAGTTCTCTTTTGATGGATGTTTCACAATACCCAGCAGGTTTTCTTGTGTACTTGAGGCCTTTGGAGCCAAACTCAGAGGAAGGCATATATGGGGCTGCACAGGCCCCATAAGCAGAGCCGCTAAGTGCACACCCAGGCTGCTGTGGCGCCCATTAGCAAGTGATTATCATGGAATGGCAGCATGCATGTGGCTGCTTCTATTCGGGGTGCTCAGCAGACTTGGACTGATAGCTCTGCCGGCTCAGAAGAGCCCTGACTTTTCACCTCTGCCAGAGAAAGCCAGCTCTTAAGTGAGGTGCAGGTTGTCACCTGCTGGCTCCTTCTCTTTTGCATTAAGGGATCCCACTTTTTCTAGGTGAGTTTAATATTCTGTAATTAGTGTAATCACTAGTCAGGGAGATGGAGAAAGGATAGGATGTTTCCAATTAAGTCAGGAAACCGAGTTTTCCCAAGCTTTACTTGACTCTACCACAACTTTTTAAAAGGCCTCTCTACTCAATCAGCCGTGTATCTTATGATAACTGTTCTGTCCTTATATTTAAGCTTTCAGGTTGAAATTACAGTTTTTTTTTTAAACAGATATTCAAGAAGCAATATCCTGCTTCAGAACTGGGAGTGTCCCTGCAAATGTGTTATTAAAGAGCATCCTCTTATTACAAGATGGTCAAACTCAAGAATTGCAAGTTTTCTAATTTTCCCTTTGCAAGGGGAACTAGCAGCCTGTAGGTAAAAACTGCCTGCCTTCTCAGTACTGGTGTGGTTCACAGGCCTGCGTTCCACCTTCCCCAGTGGCTCCGGGGGCTGGAAGGGAGGCCTCCGGCTCTTCTTGGACCCAACATGCCCCGGAATGCTCCAGGGCATAGTTGCAAATAAAGCCAGGGTAGTTCAGTTGGTGCTAGATTCCTTGGTTTCTGAGGCAGAAATATGACCATCTAAGGAAAACTTGCAAAAATTTTCCCTGCTGAGGGTAAAGGAGCCTGCTTCATCCCCAATACTTTCAGGTGACCAACATGCTTTTGTAAATTGGGTGAATCTGCTCGCTGCCTTCTCACTGAAGGTCAAACTGTTCTTCCAGAAGGCCAGCACCTGTTCTCAAACACTCCAAACTTTCAGGTATGTGCTTTCCGATCAGTGTGTCGAGGCCTGTTCTGCAGCATGGCCCATGCGCAGCGAACAGCTGAGAATAAAGTAAACCTACTTGCCGCTCTGGTCAGACAGGAGTAATTAGATCAGCATGATTAAAAATAGCAGAGCACTCGGCAAGACGTGTGGAAACAGGAGAC